TCATCTTCAACTAAAACATCACCACCATCTTCCCCACTGTCATCTGTACCCACTTCTCCAAAGAAAGGCTTGCTACTAACTCCTTTGCCTTTGTCAACCAGTGGGTTATAACTAGGGTCAACTGTGTCACTATCACTTCTATATTCTGGTATCAAATCATTAATGGGGATAGGGCTTTCAGGCCTTGCATCTTCCCACTCAAAAGTGTTTACAGGGTCATTTTCTGGAGCTTGGTGAGCTATTTCAGGTGTTTTATTAGGGTTTATAACATATTTTATTCTACATGTACTTTTGTTAGATGGGGAAATGGTTGGTGGAATGGTAATAAGTTCAGTGGGAGCATTTTCTGTTGGCTGTAGTGAGTTGTCAAGGGCTTTATGGGAAGTTTCAACATGGGCTTTTTGGGAAGGTGGTCCCCTCTTTAGTGGAAGTTTTTTGGCTCTCACAGATTTGGGTTGGGTCTTCTGTTTTGAGGAGGCAGGTTGTAGTTCTTTGGGAAAGAGAATTGGGTCATTTTCACAGTGCATAGCATAAACCTCCACCCCCTTATGCTTCTCTGCTACCCTTATCATTTCCCTCATACTGTCATCATCTGTGACCCTCCTCAACCCATCCTCCATACTCAGTCCAGGAACTAAGTATAAAAACCCCTGAATTCTACCATCATATCTAGCACACTTCATAACCAACTCCACAAGATAAAAAGAGCATAGTTCATCAGGGTCTACATTAAAGGTTCTGTTTTGCCCATTCATATAACACAACAATCCATTACCACGCTGCTGAAACACCCCTCCATGCCACATTTTCAAGGTTATTTTACTACAACCCATACCTAAGTTCACAGCAACTATAACACAATTAACATTCAACAAAAACCAACAGCATAGCACAACAAAAACCTAGCATTTAGGTTTCGAAATCAAATCACATAAACCGACAAAAAAATCACAACATAACACAAATAAACAACAATTCGCAACAATAAGTATCAAATACATTGCAATCATATTGAAAAATCATCAATTTCGGGTTAAGGTTCGACATTTACTTCGAAGTTTAGCAAATTTTCAGGCGGAAATCAGGGTTCGAAAACTTACCTAAAATGGGGTTCTTCGCTATTCAATTTTTACCAACGATGGAAGCTTCACAATTAATGGCACCGTAATCAAGTTGTTGAAGCTTCAATTATGGCGGATGAGATTTTTTACAGAGCCTCTGTTCAAGTGAGTAATGAGGGAGGGAGGAATTCTACAGACATTAACGTGGGTAGTTGGAAGGAGAGAGAGATGACATGGCATGTTTTAGGGGGGAAATCAGACTACCCAAGTACACGTCACAATTTCTTACCTTGTTAGCCGGTTTCAAGTTAGATGGGTCCAATAAAAATAAAAGTTACCTAAAGGTGGGTTTATTGAAAAATAATTGAAAGGTGGGATTATTAAAAACGAACGGGTGAAAGGTGGGATTATTCCCATGAATTTTTCCTTAGTTTTATCCAATTTTAATGGGTTATTCACTTATTCTTGATGATAATAATGAGGCATTGGTATATACTTCGTATTGGTTTTCTTTGCCTCGAATAGGCTAAAATGCTAAATGACATACTCCTTATGAAATATTGTATTATGCTTGGTGTATGTTAGTGCCTGTGATTGGTGGTGAAGTTACTTTGCTATGTTTCTCTTGCTTTTTTTTAACGCCGTTTTTTTTCAATAAAACATAGCGCTTATGAAGTGTCCTAAATCATAGGCGCTGCTAAAAGAGTTATAGCGCTTTAATAAGCGCTATTAATGTTTCCTCATTTAGTAGCACTTAATATATGAGCGCTGCTAAACCTCTACCAAATAACAATATTATTAGGAAATTTTGACTTTTACCACCTTCAAATAACCACTTAATTGAATTTACCACCTCCAAAAAAAAAAGATTTACTTTACCACCAACAAAATTTCCAAAAAATCGATTTTACCACCAACTAACGGAATCCGTTAGTAGGGCCCACCTTTTTGACGTTTCTTCTTCATCTTCCCCGTTCTTCCGTGTAAACCAACCAGCAACGAAATCAACTACCTCGGTTGGTCGGAATTTCGTGTGTGACTAAGGAGGGGCCGAAATTTGGTGTGTGGGTTAGGGAGGTGGTCGGAATTAGGTGGTGGTTAGGGTTTTAGGAGTGCGAAATTTGGTGGTGGCTAGGGTTTTTAGAGTGGTCGGAATTAGAAGGGGATTTATGGGTGGTCGGGATTTGGTGGCTGCCAAAAACTAAGAAGCCAAATCACCAACAACAGGGATACAAATCGATTATCATCAACATTTCTACAAACCAAAGCAATTAATCCATTACAACACCCACAAATCGAAACCTCAAAACCAGAAAAAGAATTGGGTAAATCAAACCTTGTCAATCGTTTTTAGCATCAAGCTCAGAACCCCACTTCAATGGAGTCGATTCCAGGTGACTTCCATGGTTGAGGATAAGAAGAAGACGGTCAGAGGAGAGAGAATGAGCGAGATGAAGTCTGATTAAATGGGTGCTGCTGATTGATTAAGGAACGCCAAGCCTTGGAAACGCATTTGAAGCGAAGTAGTGATTTAGTGGGTAATCGAAAAGAATGGAGGTGATTAACTCCATTGGAAGAGACGCCATTGTTGTGGCTTTCGAGAAAACAGAGCAAAAAAATAAATAAAAATTGGTGGAAAGGTGGTTGTGGCTGTGCGGTGCGGTGGTGGGGCTGGTCGTAGCGGTTAGGTGGTGGGGGCTGGTCGTAGCGGTTAGGTGGTGGGGGCTGGTCGTGGCCGGTCGGCGGTGGGGGTCCTGACGGTGGCAGCAACACCGGTTGATTAATGGGGATTTTTTTAATTTTTTTTTAAACTTACCCAATAATATGGCGACACGTGTGCAAGGTAGGCCCCACTAACGGATTTATGGACGGAATCCGTTAGTTGGAGGTGATTGGTGGTAAAACTGATGTTTTATTTTTTTATGAGGTGGTAAAGTAAATCTTTTTTTTGGAGGTAGTAAATTCAATAAAGTCGTTATTTGAAGGTGGTAAAAATTAAAATTTCCTATATTATTATTATTATTATTATTATTATTATAACAAAAAAAAAATCAACAAAACCAATTTTATTTCTCATAACAAATAAATATCACAATGTCTATAATTTAGAAATAATATGCAAAATCTATTATCAATTATTATAAACCCAACATTAAAAGTAGAAAAAAAAAAATCTATACAATCTCATAAACTACTTTTAACTTTAAACATCTTAAATATTGAAAGTTATAGTACAAAAACGTTATGTATCCACCATAAAAATTGTGTATCCTAAAATGTTAACTTGAGAAGAACTTGCGCCTATTGAGTTCTCACTTCATCAATTTGGTCTTGATCATACTTGAATCATTCCATTCGTGAAGTACTACAAAATGAGAAAATTAATTAGCTTAATTTTAAGAAATACATGCATAATATATATAGGCATAATTGAACAAAGAAAATTACAAAAAATAAATAAAAATAATCAAGCACACGTTAGTCCATTGGATAAATTAACTAGCTAGCACATACTTAAGTCACTCAAGCCATTAGTTTTCTTCCTGCTCATCATTAAGCTTTCAATTAGGATAATATAATTCAAGTGGCTTGTTTATCTAATAACAATACCATTTATTAGAGAAGCACATTTATCTAATGAAGTATTAGGAAACAATAGTAATGCACCCTGAATCATTGGTCCTACAGTAATCAGCTATATTGGTTTAATTTATCTTCACTTGTAAAGTTGAAATAATATACAATTTCATTTTCTATTCAACAACAAAGAAAAGGTATCCTTGCAAATTACAAAAAAAACCCACTAATAAGATCTTACAAATATATATCAACATAGCAATGCAAGGACAATTCAATAAAGGATATAAAAAGTACTAATCCGTAGTATATAACTTATGTGTTCAATCAGCCCATTCAAATTTCCAACAAACATATGCAGAACTTCTATATTAAGAGAAAGGGCATTGCATCTTCTTTTGGTTTTCTATTTTTCCTTTGCCCTTAATGTCGGATAACATCCCACCTAAAAGTTATGCCAACACTCTTAAGACCAGCATCCCTTCTGCTTCCATTTATCCTTCCCAATTTGGAAATGGAAGTGATAATTGTGATAATGGTCAGACTCTGTGGGTAATCTCTCTAATGATGTTCCTACCTAAGACTTTGGGTAGGGTGGGAAAGTCTAACAGAGTCTACCCAAACCATAGAGCTGGCACAATTGCTCCCATCTCTAGTCATTCCCCTCCATTGCAGGGTGATTGCTCTCCTTTTGCTTCCCCTCGGGTGGCTCCGATTGAAGAGGGTAGTAGAACTCCTCCTAATTCTCCTACGGCCCAAGTCCCCCTACCTCTAATCAATTCCATCCCCTAGGTGACTTTCAAGTTCAAGCTGGTGAGGGTGTCTCCCTCAATCCTCCTCCTGAATTACTTCACTACTAGTAGAAAATGCAAATGAGCACCGGTTCAAAACCGGCTTTGCGCACCGGTTTTGAACTGTTGTTCATTTGAGGGATGCCAAAAGCTGAATTTATTCGCACCGGTTCAAAACTGGTGGGAATAATTACCGGTGCTAATACAAGGTTATTAGCACCGGTTACCGGTGCCCTTAGTGACCCAAAAAATCAATTTTTTTTTTCTTCATATTTTTACCTTAAATTGTACCAGATACTTATATATAATCATAATATACATAAAACACATATTTTCATCAATAACCCAAGATCAATATTCATAAAGCTGTAACTAAATTCTTTGACTTATTATTGAGTTATCCCAGGATCACCTGAAATCGGGAGGGAAACTCTAACCAATTGAGCTATCCCACACCCAGCTTTCTTAGGATTGCGAATTTGTGATATTCCTATCGTTATATACCATGTATTGTGGTCGTGAATATGATTATATGAATGAGAAATACAGAGAAATATTATTGAGGCCAAAATTAACATTAATAGACATGCTGATTTATATTAAAGATAAAAGACCAAATTTAGACTCTTTATTGATTATTCCACATTACTACAAATTCAAGAAAAAAGATTAGGCAAAGGATAGTCATCCTGTAATTTGTGTCTCTATGAACACAAAACCCTTTACAAATTCTACTAATTAATCTTCATCATATCAATAGGTCTTTTCCCCGAAGGAATGGATTGTGTATAAACTTGACCATAGTCCTTGAGCCTTTTGTATAATTGTGGCCTCTCTTCATTGATTAGCTCATCTAGTGGGCCAATCTCTCTGTCTAGGCTTGGGATGAATAGCATGGCTAAGGACATTCGATCATATTGTGGGTTTACCACTGCCTTGTGGGTTGGACTCTTAAAGACGCCATTGCTCGCTATCTGCATAAAGTAAAAATGAATATGACGACAACCAAATAAATGTTTTGAAAATCGTGAACATTTTATTAATTTTCTGAAGGGAGTATTAGCGGACGAAGGAATTGATTTTCTTAACATTACCTCCATCTGATCACCAACAAGGATGGTGAGAGCATGAGGGATGACAGGAACACGAAACCAACGATCATCTTTGACGACTTGAAGGCCTTCAACCTCTTTGTCTTGCAAGAGCATGGTAATGGCGGTTCCATCTCCATGAGGTTTAAGTCCAACAACTTGATCCGACATTGGGCATCGAGGGTAGAAGTTGAATCTTGCATGAGTATTATCTTCATTCTCATCCCCCCATAGCTCGAAAAAACGCTCTTCTTCTAGGTTAAGAGAACGTGCCATAGCCTTTAGAAGTGTCCTAAGTATCATTAGGTTCTTCTTTGAATATTCATGTAAGGTTGTCCTACATAATTTTAATTTGACAAAAAAAAAAAAAAAAAATGATTTAGTATATAGTCAAATGATCTAAGGAGAGTATAAATAATATTGGAGTCAGACCCAAACCCTAGCTACACGAGAACAGCGGCCTAGACACAGACCCTACTCGAATCCATATAAAGTTAAATTACCTAAAATGTCGAGGATTTTCAGGCCAAAATTGAAGTTGGCGTTTGTCCTCGGGATAAACTTGGAGATGAAGCTTATCATTCCAATTGAGACTTCCACGTTGAACAGCATTCGTGTTTCCATAACCTTCCAAGTCCTCTCCTTTGGAGGAGTACTTTTCCTTTTCTTCTAATGGCTGTTTGAAGAATTGCTTGCTCATTTCTCGTACCTCGTCTAGTAATGAAAGTGGCATACCATGATTCACTAGCTATAGTACACGCACACAAAATCATATTAATTATTAGGGTTATGTTATATTTTACATATTGTATATATCATGCTTATAAAATAAACAAAAAATATTATTGTAAGGTGGTTGTTTTGAAGGTGGCTAACCTGAACACAGCCCCAAGAAGTGAGGGCAACGCGAAGCTTAGCAAGCTCATCAGGAGATGATGAATATAAAAGAGAAAAATCGATAGTTGCAGTGTCCATCAACGAAGGAGGGCCGTCTTTACCAAGTTGGTAGTCATCCTTGGTTAGTAGGTAACCTTTGGGCACAACATCACTTTGGAGTATTTCTTGAACAGGCATAAGAGTGGGTGCCATTGCTACTATATATGTTTTCTTTGAAACAAAATGTTAATGCAATTATATATGCTAATTAATGCTGATTTAGTAATTAACTAAGCAAGGCAGTGGTTTGTAAATGGGACGTAGGAGGTCCAGCTTATATACTGTGGCTGATCATAGTAAAGTTGACTAAGATTATTATTAAATGATTAGCTTGAAATAATCTAGTTGTCCAAGTTTGTAAATGTCGAAACTTCTAGATGATCTAAAATTTTGACTGAAATTGGGAAGTTTTATTTTGTTGTGGTGACTAGCTAGTATTCAGCCCGTATAATTTTCAACCAAAATAAAGAGTGGAAAATTAAGAAAGTTTCTAGTATGTTAATACGGTAATAATTTTGTGTATCCAAACTTTTAGGACTACTATATATGGTCCATATTATAGCTTAGCTAGATTTAAATTTCGTATAATGTGCATACATAAACTAATTTCTAATGTATCCCGTCAAAAAAAAAAAAAAAAAAAAAAAATGTCGTTGCTAGTAGATTATTATTATACGATTAGCTTGAAATAATCGATCTAGTAGTCCAAGTTTGTAAATGTCGAAACTTCTAGATGATCTAAAATTTTGACTGAAATTAGGGAGTTTTTTTTGTTGTGGTTTACCAGAATTCAACCCGTATAATTTTCCAACAAATGCAGAGTGTGGAAAAGTATGCCCTTGCTAGTATGTTGATACGATTTTACAAACATGTAGGACTAGTATAAACTCAATGCTATAAATTAGTGTAACATAGATTTCGATTTTTTGTTATGCACACAAACTGATTTCGATGTTTGTATAAACTCAATGTTAGTATTACTAGTTTATTATGTGAAACGAATATTTACATCGATGCATTGACAAACAACAATTGTAGTATGCAATACAACTACTATGTAAATTATATTTGTACTACGTATATCTTTGGTAGCTTCTGCTCAAATTCCAATTAGCAAGGAACTCAATGTATCTTTAATATTAATCAGTATGATCCCAATTATTCATCTCTACTTGGTAGATCCAGGATTTCTTAGTTTCTAACTAAGGGTAGCATAGTACAATAAGGGAAAAAAAAAAAGTAGAAATGAGTTACATACTAATATACTTCCTCCGTATTTAAATAAGTGTTACATTTTGACCAAACTCGTATGTCGAGACACGACTTTGACCATTAATTTATCTAATTATATGTTAGTAAAATCATAGGAAAATTGATATTATGAAAGTATACATTATAATGAATCCAACAATATATTATACAATAACATTTGTTATTTTATATGTTAGTAAAGTAATCAAGTCAAAACCATTATATGAATAGTGAAAAAGTCAAACTGTAACACTTATTAAAACACGGAGGGAGTCCTATAGTATATACTAGGTTAGAACCCGTGCATCAATATAAAATCTATTTTTATAATTTGTACATGTAACAAAATGGATAAATATAAATAAGAATTATGCACCTTATACAAAAATATTTGTAATTTTAAAATTTTATATTTTCATCAAAATTATGATATAATACATGTTCAACGTTGCCTAATACATATTTCAATGTAGGAGTCCATTTATTAGTGTGCTATCTATAATTGTTTATTATTGTAAGGATAAATTGATTGGTTGTAGTTGTAATGTAGAAACTTCTAATATTCAAATTTCAAAATTGTAAAATATGGTAGCTTTACCAAAAAAAATAAAAAAAATGACATCATCTTTGCTTTTAGGCGGAGAAAAAATTATTATGAGAGTGTCATGTGGACAGTGATGACATCAGCAATGTTTTGTACTGTTTTAGTAATAGTTATTCACTACCATATTTAATTTAGAAACTCCGTCTCTAAATTAATTTAGAAACGGAATTAAAAAATCCGTTTCTAAATTAGAGACGGAATTAAAAAATCCGTCTCTAAATTAGAAACGGAATTGAAAATCCGTTTCTAAATTAGAAACGGATCGGATTTTTTCCGTTGCAAAATTAGAAACGGATTTTTTTCTGTTGCTAAATTTAGAGATGGATTTTTTTTTTCCGTTGCTAAATTAGAGATGGATTTTTTTTTCGTTGCTAAATTAGAGTCGGGTTTTATTTTTCCGTTGCTGGTATGAGCGACGGATTTTTAATTCCGTCTCTAAATTATTTTCGAAACGAATTATGTAAAATATTACTTTAACGACGAATTATGTAAACTAAAATCCGTCTCTAAACTAGAGACGGATTTGAAAATCCGTTTCTAAACTAGAGACGGATTTTAAATTCCGTCTCTAATTTTTCTTTCACTTATTATCAATTATGTGCATAGAAGTAAACAAATAATATTTGGTATAGTTGGTAAGAGTTTCACTATGTGACTATGAGTTCACGGGTTCGACTCCTACCTATTGCGATTCTTGAGATTGGGGATTCAAGGAGCCTTACATGCAAAGCCGAGCCGGGTTGACCCGAGTGAGGTCGAACCGAATAACATCTACTTATAGACACAAAATAATTTTTCCGTTGCTAAATCTAGAGACGGATTTTTTTTTCGTTGCTAATACCAGCGACAGATAAAAATAATCCGTTGCTAAAACCAGCGACGGAAATAAAAATCCGTTGCTAAAACCAGCGACAAAAATAAAAATCCGTTGCTAAAACTAGCGACGGAAATAAAATATGTTGCTAAGTTCAGCAACGGAAAACAATTACAACGTCGCTAGTCTCATTTAGCGACAACAGTTTTACTAACGGAGTAATTCCGTTTCAAAATCTGTCGCTACCTATATTTAGCGACAGAAAAGTACAATCTAGCAACGGATTTGATCTGTTGCTAAATGTCTATTTTTTGTAGTGATTATACTAGGTTATCCCGTGCGATGCACGGTTAGAATTAATCTTTCTTGTAATTTATGTTTTGTTGCATTATATTGTATATAAAGATTATAATTAGATATAAAATAATTTACATTTAAGGATATATATGAACCACATTATTTACAATAAATAATTGAAATAGTCAAAAGAAAATTATTTAAGGAATGAAAATTAATGAAATCTAAAGAAAAAAATACATAGTATATAATTAGCACCAATGCTTCAAAAAATATAATTAGAACCAATGTCATCAAAATTATTATTTTAGCTTCCAGTAATTAACAGTTTGTATACTAGTTCGTAGAACCATCTATTTGATTTTTTAGTCAAAATTCATAAATAGTTTTTTAAATTAATAAAAATAGAGTAGTTCAACTTTAAAAAAATTAAAAATAAAGATGATGTCATAAAAGCGTTTAGGCGGGAAATTTTTCTATGAGAAAGCGACATGTGTACAAATTTAGAGAAAGATGATGTCAGCATATTTTGTTTTAGTATTAGTTAATAGATTAGGATGTATCTTTTAATAATTAGCCTTTAAATTTTAAACATTTATTTTTGGAAGATAAATTTTCATTTTATAATATAAAATAGTTTTCTAGTTATCAATAAAATACAATCTATACTAATCTATTAAAAGGCGTTCTTAAGAACGTTTATATACCACGTAGACTCTTCTCATTACGCCACGTCACCTATTCAACCTCTCATTATGCCACATCACCACTCAATCAACCTTAAATATTATGGTACGTCACCTAGGCCTATACAAAATTATCCGAGAAACTGAAAATCCGAAAATCCAATCCGCAACCAATCCGAATTTTTGGATATACAATCCGAGTTTTCATTCCACATTAGATATCTGAAAAGGCGAATATGGATATCGAATGCAGATTCGGATTCGGATATTGAATTTCAAAATTTTGGATAACTGATATCCAAAAATATCTAAAATATGAAGGCTGAAATAGTGAAATATATGAAGTATTAAATATTTAAAATGTCCATATGAAATTAAACTGATCGACCATGTGTTATTAAATTGTTATAACATTCTTAAATTATTTTCTTTCATTTTGTTTAATTATACTGGATATTGGATATCCGAAGTATCATATCCGAATGATTACAGGTACCGAATTTCAGAAATTTTGGGATCGGATTCGGATATTAGTTTCTGATATCCGAACCGAAATCACATTTCGTTTCGGATATCCGATCCGTGAACAGGCCTAACGTCACTCGATCAACCAACATTACTCCATATAAAAATATGAGGATAAAGAGATTCAAACACCTAGCCTCTTATAAGAAGGATGATTATTTAAGCATCTAAGCTAATATAAAACCATGTTATTTAATCATCCAATCTCGTTAATGATTGACATGTACGGTAAAATAAATGTACTCAATTAAATGTGATCTTATTAGAATCATTTTATTGTATAACTAGATGAAAGCCCGTGCAATGCACGGTTTTCTATACATAAAATATTAAAATCACACAAACAAAATAATTTTTGTAATTAGATCATACTCATAACATTTTGATTAATTTGCTATTGTTTTTAAGGATAATGTTTCTATTAATTTATGTAATTTATTCCCCATAATAAATATTTTGATAAGAATATTAAAAAAAACAAAAAATATTAGATACACATAAATATAGATAAGAATCATTATTAAAAAATAATAAAAACATGTATTCCATTATTTATCTTTTATTTCGATTGAATCACCAATTTCATTCACAACCATATCTACTCCATCTAATAAAAGTGGATAAATTGAACACATAAGCGTTAGCAAAAATAAAATTGATATAAAATTAATCTTTACAATTTTATAAAATAAATCAATATATTTACCCAGAAGTGAAAAATTGTTGCGAAATTGATCTAAAAATTGTAATTGTACAAAATGAAATCTATGCAATGAAAGTTTTTGTAAGGAGTAAACTTTTCGTTCAATAAATTTTGGACGAAAGTGTTGAACAGAGTTGGCTTTAATCGAGGCATGAAAGGATAGTAATCACCCTATAATTAACAATTTATAAAGATATAATACCTCATCGTTCAATAGGACCATATCCAAACTTATTAAGCTATCTTGTTTGCAAAAGGTAAGTATGTCAAACAGGCGAGCAAGAAACTCGTATTTTGATTTTTCAATCATTTTTGCTCGAATTTAATTATCTAATTAAATTAGATCTGCATAAAAAAAATTCAGTAAACAAAACATAAATATTTAA